TGAAACGCCCTGTAGACATATGCACTTGTGATAAAGGCTTATAAATAAATAAAACTCGAAACAAGGAAGGAGAGCCTTAAAACTACACTCCCTATGCTTTTTATTATTGTATACAGATGTGCTTCCTGTACTGGAATCGGCTCTCATCCAAACAGCTGTTTGCTATTCCCAAGGTTGCCCTGGCAACGCTGTAATGGAAAATTCTTGGGAATTTCCATGTGGCAAAGGATTGTGTGGAAGTAGTACAACACCCGGGTTGATTCTTTACTCCCCGACCTTCTTTTCACACATGCTTCACGTTTTGCCGAAAAGGAACTTGGGACGAGAAAGTTAAACCAGACACTAAAGAAACCCCCAAAGGCCACACATAAGCAAAGGGGTCCACAAAATGTCAGTGGAGAGGCCAGGGGGAGATTTATGGGAAGCCCCCAGCCACTCTACACCCCTCTGTCTTGTATCTTTAGCTACATCTGAGTCAGGACACTCAACGCCCCTTCCCCACGGACAAAGGCTTGTCTAAATATAGCCAGAGTAACAACGGAGGAAAAGGGGATTGAGTGGGAGAGAAGGGAGAGAAAATTAGTGAGAAAAAGAGGGAAAGGTTTGAGAAAAAGTGCGAGAGAGTGAAAGAAAATGATTTGAGAGCAGAGAGCAAACATTATCCATGGGCACAGATCTTGCACTTTTGCATGTGTGTGTGTGTGTGTGTGTGTGTGTGTGTGTGTGTGTGTGTGTGTGTGTATGTGTAACAGATACAACCCACCAGCTGCTTGACTCTAGGCAAGAGCATGCCTCCTGAAATATACCTGCTAGCACCAACTCCCCTGTGGCGAAGAGGTGCAAATCTCAGCCAAGGAAACCTTAGACAGCCCTGAGCTGATCATTTCCATCTGCTCATTACATTTGATTCATCCTCTTCGAACCTCCCTGGATTATCATTGTCATACTACAAGATAGATTTTTGGCACTGGAATAAAAATTTAAGGGAAATCCAAGTTATGAACTAAAAAAACAAAACAAAAACAAAACAAAAAAAACAAAAACAAAACTTTTTTCATTCCTTGATTATATTAGATGAGACATTGTTAATCCCTCTGTCTGTCCCAAATCAAGGCACAAGAGAACAAGGCTCTGTGATTCAATCAAGAAACAAAGCCTGGAGCTTTTTTCATTGACAAAAATAAAACTGACTTTGTAAAAATAATAACCAAAGACTAATGTGTTGGACACTGTGACTGTGGCCAGTGTAATTTTCCAGGGAAACAGCCACATTTTCAGGTTCAAATCATCTGACATCACGATGACGTAAAGCAAATGTGGATGTAGAAGCATTTACCAAGTTTTCAGTGCTGCAAGCCAACTTTTAAATCATGACTACAGTGTTTGTGTGATCACAGCAGGGCAGATTGGAGTCATGGTTATCTTCTTCATCTCTATATTTGACAGAGTTTTTATTGTTGCAATATATTACATTTTATTACTCAAATGTGCAGTAGCAATGAGTCCAGGCATACAGGAGCCAGAGGGAGCTTGGTCATGAAATAAGATGCATGTGGGTGGCTTCAAGTGGGAACTGAGCCAGATTCATTACAGGCCACTGTCAGTGTCAGGTCACTGAGGTGAAACAAGTGTCAAGACAGGCACAAAACATCCTATGAAACAAAGTCAGGCAGAAAACCAAACTTTTTGTTAATGAAATTAAACCTGGGTCAAGGAAATTCTCAAAGGTGGATTGTAAACAGCTCAACTCTGCAGGTAGGTTTTCTCACTTGTTTTAAGAAAAAAAAAAGCAATAGTCTTGGGAAATATGCCAATTCATTTTGTTGCTGAGAGTTAGAAGAGATGACTGATACCACTCTCATATTTGATAAATACGATATGAAGCTAGACTCAGCAGCTGGTTAGCTTAGCTTAGAAACAGCTAGCCTGGCCCTGTTCAAAGGCAACAAAACCAGCCTACCAGCACCTCTACAAGGTGTAAAAATATCAGTTTGTTCTTATTATTTCGACCACCCCATTCAAATCAATGAAGGTAGTCTAAACAATAGACACACCTCTTTCTATAATGCAACACAGTTTAACAGCACCAAAAAACTGCACAAACTGCAGCCTCTAAAATTATCATAAAATTTCATCAACACCTCTCTGAAACAACAACAAAAACTGAACATTACAACCTTCATAAAAATCCATAGGATTTAGTACAGGACAGTGTTGACGACATGTACCTAACAGAGTGACGTGAGTATGTATCTTTATACTCTCCCTGCTCACAGCTGCCCATGTTGCTCTCTGTCCAGATGAAGTGCCTCCTCACATTATGTCCACTGATCGCCAGAGATGAGGCCGCAAACACAAGAAGCATGGCTCTTTAGCTGGTTGAGCATGAAATCTAGTTAGCTTTAAAAAAAAAAAAAAAAAAAAGTGGGAGTGGGAGAAACCGAGCATCCTTGTCCACAGAAACCATGGACAAGAGGGAGGATGGAGAGAAAAGATATCTGTTGGTGACTCAGGTGATCACATCTTGGGTTGGATGTTTGAATTCAGCACAATGCATCGGGAAGTGCTCACTCAAAGATTTGGACATGTCTCAGGATTGTGGCTCAGATGTTGTTAACAGTAAACTGTACCCATGCAGAATCCATGCAGCAGAGTTGCTATAGAGTAGACATACAGGATCAACAAGGCCAAGTCTGGATTTTCTTGCCGTCTCTTTTTCTCTGCATCTCTATCTTTTCTTTTTATCTCCCCTGATCTCTCAGTGTGTTAGCTGGCGCCAGGATCTCTGGGGCACAGTCTATGACATCAGACTTTGCAATTCAGATTCTATGATGTTAATCATCTGCCTTCAGGCAACAAGGAACAGAGGAGAGGAGAGAGAGATAAAGAGACATAGGAAGCCGGACAGAAAGAAGATGGACATGGAATGAACAAGACGGAAGGGGAGAGCCATGAGAAAGAGAGTGAGAGGGGATGGAAGGGAGGGCTGAGGGAAAGAGAGGGGACATGAACATCTGAAGCAGACAGATGCTGGCATGTGAGGTTAGAGATGGAGCCCAGAGATACAGTCACACTTCAAGCCATGAGACAGGGAGGTGAGAGAAAGAGAAAGAAACTACATGGCAAAGCCAGATTACACATACTCTATGTAAATGTCTGTTTTAAATCATCCATGTTTCTGAATTTCCTCGAGGAAAACACGCTGGGTCTGTCTCTCCATCCTTGCCCTTCTAGTTTCTCTGTTTCTGTCTGACTTTCACCTTGAGGACTCGGCCTGAAGCTTGTCACTCAACATCACCATCACCACATGAGCACACCAAGACAAAGACTGGCTGCAGTTAAAAAACGAGACGCTGTGAGAGTGACGGCAACATTTTTGCCCGGTTTTTGGAAAACTTTTAAATGAAGCGGCTGTGATTACAACTGATGGCTAAGAAGCAGATGTCAAAATACAGACTATGTGACATGACTGATTCTGGCTTCGTCTTTTCTCCTAAATTAAAAGTTTTCCAAATCCTAACGAAGAACTCCTGCCAGTCTTGTTGTGAGTTTTGTTATTGTTTTTCCTGCCAGACTGCCAGTTCCACACAGCAAGTCAACTGTGTCAGTGAAAGTGGGTCTGCAGCTCGCCAAAGCCTGTGTGAATATCATGTACACAACCCACAGATCAATCCACTTAGTGCCCATGAAATATAGGGAGTGGGCAGGCCACTCTGCTAGTCTGACATCACCGTACTCCACCATTAGGCTGAGTGCCATCATGGCTCACCACCCCTCTGGAGGACCGTACTTGGGCTGCATTCAAAACCAAAAACGCTGTAGTCTTGCCTGCGTTGGAACCATCTGGAAAGTCTTAAACCTGTTGATTAAGTGTGAGGTGCAGCACTGAGGCTGAACAGGCTCACACACCTACGCGTTTGTTTAATTTGGGAACTGTATTCCTGTGACCGTGGGCATATCATCTGTTACATCTATTAATGCTGCACTGCAAATATAGAGGTTGGGAGTCAAATTTAGACAGACTCAACCGAGCTAGTGTTATCTCCAGTTTATCACGCAAGTTCATGGCCCAAGTCATCACCATCCTGCAGGATCAGTGGAGAGTCTTCAGCTCAGACTGTAAATGGAGCCAAGACTACTGGGACTTTTGCAGTGAATAATAGAGAAAACCTGAACCTCTGGCCTGTGTGTTGGAAATAATAAGTGCAGTTAAATTTATATGGAGATGGATTATTGCACAATATGTGACAACTGAGCACACTTCAGAGCAAACTGGCAGACAAGCACCTACTGAGAAACCATATGGTTAGCTCTGAGTTTGAGTCTTATAAAAACGCTAGTTTTTCCAAAGGAGTCTGGCTGACAAGAAGACTGTCCCACATGGTCTGCAGCAAAATGAGACACACTTGTTTGCACTCTCTCTTCTTTTTATTTCAACACTTCTGACCAGAGGTTCAACTGCCCCAAGTGCTACCTCTCCGGCCACAATATCAACTGCCCTGTGGTGTAAAAATAAATCAGATTCATCCACACAAATGCTCTCAAATGTGGGTCCTGTGGATATGCTAAGGGGAAAAGTTTGGGAACCTCTGAGCCACATTCAGACCACAGTCTACCTTCCTGGTGACTGATTCCTGTAACAGCAAGCCACATGTCACAGCACTGCAAGCTGGCGACAAATGCACAGCAGCTTTAAATATCATGTTTGACCAGGTGAAGTTGTATCCAAAGTAATATGTAATCGTCATTATCATCATCAATTGGCAAGGAGGAAGCACATTCTACTGGAACCCTCATGTTCCACCAACTGCAACTCACAAAGTAAAAACGGATTGTAAATCTTATTGAATGCTACTTTTAATATATTTTTACACCTGAGACTGTAAAAAAAAGTTCAATCCTGACTGTAAAAAATAACAGCAGGATGTTATTTCTTCTACACACAGCGTATTATCCACGACTTTCAGAAGCCAACAGGCTGTTTTTGAAGCTGTACTCACATCTGCGCTGATGGGAATTGTCCGGTGGACACAGACGAAATGGTTGACAGGAGTAAAAGTAGGCAGACTGAGTAATCCATGGCTTTGTTTATTTCCCTTCGACCAGGATCCAGACAGAGAGAAGATGAACAAAAGAAAAAAAAAAAGCTCCACAATCCCACCGCGCCGTGCGTACTTCTCAGCCAAACGCCTCACACCGCCATCGGTGCGCGTTTGGAAACAAATCTCATCTGGTATGCCCCCCCCCCCACACCGGTCGAGTTGAGGAGTGTGCTTATTTTTGGTCCAGCGACTGTGTGTGTGTGTGTGTGTGTGCGTGTGCGCGCGTGTGTATATGAGTGTGTGTGACTGTTGAGTGTGTACCTCAAACTGCGATAGGCTATTAGCACAGATCTACGGCGTGTGTCAAAAAATAAAAGGAGAAAAGGGGAGGGCGCCTTTAGATCTTCAGCTTGGCCGGCGGAGCGGTGCCACTCCGCACACTGCAAAAAACATCGTACCCAGCGTTTAGCATTTAGGTTCTTTACTGTTACACACGTGGGAAAGTGAGTTGAAGTGGGTGAGATCAGCTCATATTCTGTGCGTTTGAAATTCTTTTTTTTTTTTTTTTTTTTTTTTTTTTTTTACTTGAATTAAGCATAATTTTCTAAATAGCTCTGGAGTGACCCTGATGCTGTATTCTGCTTCATTTCAATAGAGATCCAGACCAATATTTATGTGAAAATCCTCTCAAAAGTGGAAAAAAATAGATCCTATAAAATACTTTATGTCGATCTTCACTTAAAAAAAATACACTAAAATGACACTAGATTAAACAATTTGAAGCGTGGATTAGTTAGTCGTATTTTTTTTTTTTTTTTTACAGTGTGCGTTTTTTTGTGTTTGTGTTCCTGACTCACAAATGTGTTTCCGGGCGCCCTCTCCACCCACCACACGCAGCACCAAACGCAGCACCACACATTACGCACGTTTTCTCTCGCCGTCGGAGCCTTATCAAGCACCGGACACTTGACACAAAAACCGCCTCGGCACCTCTCAACACCATGCAGCCACCTTCCTGTGTAGCAACTGTCTACAGTTTTCATTCAGACTAATGGGCAGGTCTCTCTTTATCAACCTTATATGACCTCCAGCTGATGATCACCACAATGCAAATGACAACCAATATGAATAAGAATGCTACGTTTTGTTTTGTTTCCTTAAAATTAATTTTATTTCTCTAGTCTACAAAATCCTGCATCCACAGATTATTTCTTAGTTTGGAGCATAAATTTGCCTCCTTCACATGCATAGCTCTAATGAAACCTGCCAAAGCTGACTTTTGCTGGGCTTTGTTCTCCCTCCTCTGCATCCTTGATAAAGACGCATCACAAACCAGGTGGGACTTGTGAGTGCACATGAGGACAGGTTTGTTTGTGTCTGGTCACATGTTGCTGAAAGCGTTTTCCAGGCCCTCCAAGTAACTGTTGTCCATGTCAGATTCAGTGAATCATCATGAGAAAAATTTAGGTTTTATTATGTATATCGTTATAAGCCGTCATTTAATTTTGCATCATTGCAGTGCATCCGCTTATGCAGAAATGATATAATAAATTCTGCTTGCTCCAAGGGCTGTGGCAAACTTAATATGAAGTGACATTTCCTGTGCTGGGACAATCAGCAAGGTAAATACCAGAAGAATATACTGTACTTTCTAATGAGTTTCTCTCCAAAGCCTCTTGTCAGATATAAAACTAATCCCTGCCTAATTTCCTCAGAGCTCTTCCATTATTATGGAACCCCAAAGTTATTATTTCTGAGTGAAATTTTTATCTACTTGTTTGTGTATGTGTGTAGAGGCAAGGAAGGGTCAGAGCAGACAAACAAGGCAAAGTGCTGCTCACCTGCTGTCAGATGAATCACACAAATAGATTTACTGTGCAAATAGCTGTCCATGTTCCCCTAACTCAGGTTTCACTATAACTCATACAAAAGCGGCTCCTCTGGGACCTCCTCTCGGGCAGGGCTCAGAGGTGGGTGGGGGGGTAGGAGTATATTTACAGAGCAACAGTGTCGAGTCAGTGCAGGTTAGACTGTCAGCCGGACAGAAAAAGGACAGATGATTTCGAAGTTCATAATGTAGAGATATAAAGATATAAAGATACAGATGAAGACATGCAAGGGAGGAATTCATAAGTTGATTAATACAAAAAAAATCCATCAGCCTGTTTTGAATTTGCGATGGATTCTGAAGACATTTCCTGGAACAAAAAAAAAGGCACCATGTGTTGTCACGTACAAAAAAAAATCCAACACCAATCCCTCATGCTGCTTCTGTTTTCGAACCAAGGAAGCAAATGCAACACTCTCTTAAATAGGATTATATGGGATTCTTCACAGGGATTAGTTTTGTTTTACAGAGGCCTCTCAAAAACAGCAAATGCAGTTTGACTAAATACATCCATTTCCAATTAATGATCAGATTATGACACACAGTGTTGTTTCATGTAGTGTTTATCCTTAAAAGAGGCTATTTGTAGGTTTTCTCTGCCGCTGAACATGGTTTCTTGTTGGGAGCAGGTGGTGGTGATGTCGTTTGACAAGAGCTGCAGCCATCATTGTCTTAATAATACAACAAGTTAAATACACCCTCTGAACAGCATCACATCGTCAGGGCAGATTGGAGGCTAGTGAGTTGCTAATGGAAAGTGACGAGACGGGCTAGGGTTAGCTGGTTAGCATGCTTACTTCAGTAGAAGAAAAGACACGATACAGACGAGCCAACACTGGTATTGCTTTGCACCACTGGAGACAGCTCTTGGTGAGTAAAGGAATGAAGTTTGATGCTGAACTCACAAAATTTCTTCTAGACTGGTAAGAAAACAGCTGTAAATACCAGCACTGGCTATGTAGCAGTAACAAAACTAACAAATAGCTCCTTTAAAGCTGATATAATGAATCTATTCATGTAAACAATAAATCAGATGATTTATTGTATTGATGTAATGTGAAAGGAGTCGTTTGTAGAGACAAAAGGACCAATAATTATCACCAAACTCTACAGTTGCTCTCTGCTCTGTCACATTTTAGTGTCTTTCAGCTCATTGTTTTGGTTTTACAGCCCACAATTTTAATCCTCTGTATGGAGCCTGCCCCACACCCAACAGCAGATGGACAAAGGTAGCATCTAGTTGGTGATCGTAGAGAAGCTTTCAGCAGCTAAAGAGCCAGATATTTCCTTCAGGAGTGGAGAGTAGAAGCTAAAAGGGGAGAGGATATTGTACTGCTGGATGTTTAATAGGCAACAGTTTGCTAAAACATTTGCCAATCAATCAATATAGGTTTAAGTATTTAGCAACAGTATACTAAGAAGGAAAAGGCTTTATTATAGGCTTTTTATTCTGTTTCTATATTTGTTATTATGCACACTGATTGTGTTTGTGCCAATCACAATAAGCAAAAAGGCTGAAATTAATCAAAAAGCTGGTTAAAAACCAGCTTCAATTGGACAAAGATGCTGTAAAAATGTTCTCTGTTGGGCATTTTAGATTCAACCTTCTGTAAAGGTTGTGTGGTTCTCAGTTATGTGGTTCACTGCGCTTTCATTTTAACCTGTTGACCACTAAGTTACAGTTTGCTTCAGGTCATGTTTCCAGAAAAGAGCAGCAAAAGAGGTAAAATCAAGAGTGTAAGTGTGTGTGTGTGTATATAACAGGCAGCGACAGGGGGGGTTGATATAAAGGTTGTGTTTCTGAGTGAATTAGGAGTGTGTGTGTGTGTGTGTGTGTGTGTGTGTGCGCCTGTCAGGCAGCAGGTGCGGCCACTATCGCCAGCTCCCGACCCAACCCACCTGTACAGGGAATTGCCCGGCTGCCGTTGCCTAGCAACCCCTTTGCCGTCTCCACGCCGACTCGTCACAACCGAGCCACAAGGCTGTTGTTTTCCCAACTAGTGAGTGCACATCTTAAGTGTGGTCTTACGCTGGGATCTGCACATAGAGGACAAAACAGGAGAGATGAATACTCAGTATATTTTTATTACTTTTTTTAATTTTAAACACATACCTTTTGGCTTTTCATTCACACTACCAGACAAAAACAGTCTTTAGTATTGGTTGCTCTTTAAAAAACTATAAACACCACAATCTTTAATATTAAGATTATCCATTAAGCTATTAATAATCAGTTTCTACCAGCTTTCCTCTCCAATAAAGAAGGAGAGGCTAATTAGGGTTTATTTCCTAAAAATACAGCAGTTCATTAAAAACACATTTACAGGGCAAAAGCCTTTGCATTTTATTCAAATAACATTTCAAATGTACCCATGGCCATTTTTCACATCAAATTACACTTTAAAGTCAAGTAAAGATGACACAGTGTTTTCTTTTAGCCAACTCCTGCATTTGTGATTATCTTTGTTTTTTTTCATGGCTGCTTTTCTTAATGCTGACATCAGTGGAAAAATGCAGGTTGTAAGCATTCAGAGAGCAGTCTAAGCTGCACGAAATGATACAATATGGTGAAGCATCTGTCAAATCTGACTCCTGTCTGAAAAGTTTAAAATGTCACTGTCACATCCTCTCATATTTTTCAGTATCTTGCAGGACGAAACAAATTGAGGTATATACTGCTGAGCCTTCACTAAAATTCAAAAAACTGCATTCATGCAAAAATCTTGCATTATACCGTAATCATTTATTAATTCTTCTGGGCAAGTGCGTTACCCTGGCAACAAATGATTCCCGAGTTTAAAGTTTAATCGGCATCTCCCCCGCACAGTGTCTTCTTGGCAAAGATGATGGGACATGTGTTTTATCTCCACATAAGCTGACACAGATCCATCCTTCATTGTCAGATCCAAGAGAAGAGATGGAAGATGGAAAAACAGGAGATTTGGGTGTGATTTTGATTAACACACTGTAGTTGGAGTTTAGTGTCTTTTGAGGAAACTGTGTTTAAGCTTATGTTAAAAAGGTAAAGTTACAAAATTTTGGGAAATATGCATTTCTTGCAGAGACCTCCAATGTATACATTATATATGAAGCTTGAGCCAGCAGCAGGTTAGCTTAGGCTAATTAACACAGGAAAAGGGGGGTAACAGCTAACTTTGCTCTCATGTCTGTAGTTAAATATGAAGCTACTGCTAGCATTAGGTTAATTTAGTGTGGTATAAAGACTACAAAAATGG